ACACACACACACACACTTATATATATATATATATATATATATATATACTGTTACCTCTAATATATATATTGATTTACTGTTACCTATCAAATCTCCGTCGTATAGCTCGTCCTCTGCATCGAAGAACCCATCATCTTCGGGCCTTGTGTAGTTAATGCTTACCATGGATCGGCGGTGTTCGTGAAGGCTACTGTTTGACTGCAGAGGCCGTTTACGCCTAACACTTTTAGCATAAAAATGTACAGAAAGAGATATCAATATGAGACCATTGACATTTCTAAACTGTTAATATACAAATTCCAGGTAGACAATGTAGTAGACGGAGAATTTACAATAGCCACAAGGGATTATTAGACATGTGCGGGTGCCTTCTTTAGTCTGTGCGAATGTGATAACAAGTAGCTTTATCAACTCTCTTGTTAAGTTCATTGAGTACTACCCGGCCGGTCAAACAGACGGTCATTGCAAACTTAACGAAACATATCGAGCAACACGTAGTAGACATATACGGGTGAAGAATCTATGGAGTTATACCACACACATACACATGTATCTAATGATTTAGGGAAATGTACATATGTGGGTAGATTCTTACCTATATATTTGTACACACGTTTGTATCAACTATACACTTGTGTACACACACGATGTATCTGCATGGTCATGAACAAGCTGATTTCATGCACGAATTTATCAAAATGTTAACGTGGCGTCTACGTTTTTGAACATGCTTCTATGCGATTAGTTTCTCATGCAAAATCGGAAATCAATGAACATACACACACACAAACTCGCCATCACGCACACACACACAAACACACACAAACACACAAACACACACACATATATACATACATACATGCTTACATACTTACATACTTACATATATATATATATAAATATATATATATATATATATATATACATACAATGCGTTCATGTGAATATACACATACATATCCAAACCCGTTAGCATCCTGAACAGAAAAATACATCCATACGCACTCATTCACAGGTATGTGCATGCGCATATCACGCGTTACAGAATACTTACGGTGGTGACCGTGAGTCTTGAATGTGTATGGTATGCTGCGGCGGGGTGTGGTAGGCTAAGGACGTGTAAGATGAAGCCAGCTCAGCCGGGATGGCGCTGAGCGAACATTTCTCGGGATAAAGTTCTCTAAACCTGATGTAGAAGGTGCAGTGAGAGGTGCGTTATGATGCCGGATATGGATGTGTGGTGCAATATAAGTCCAAAAAAGAATTTTCAGGACAGGTATGGTGTTCCAAGTATTGACGCGTCCACACATGACAATCGAAGTTGTGGATTGGGGAATGGGACTTCAAACACAGCTTGTGCACTCTGCATAGTTCATCTGGGGGGGTGTAGGCTGGGGCAAAATTTAGCCTAAATTTAGGCCAATTTTGAGCAAATGAAATAGGTTTTTTGAGAGACTAACCTTCACTCAGAATACATGGTTGTCATTGCGAGACTATAGTACAGTGTAGTGACCACCCATATAACCAGTGCCTGGCAACTGCGTGACAGAAAACACGTCCAATCCGAGAGAGAGGTTTGTACACATGTACACACAGGTTACAATAGGATGGTACAGGCCCCATCACGTACACTGTATGTCATATAAAATCAGTCTACCCATAGGCCTGTGTGGGGACTAGGAGAAACTCTACACCATCCCACGCGTGTGCCCAGGATGATTGGCAGGACAAGGGTTAGACTTTTACATAGTACCGGAACACTTATAGTAACAATACACTTAAATATTCTCTCATACATACACAAAAGGAACATGATTAATACACTCCCCTTGGGTGCAATGATATGGCAGTGACTATAACAATACACTTATATATACACTCATACATACATAGAAGGAACATGCTTAATACACTTCCCTTGGGTGCAATGATATGGCAGTGACTATAACAATACACTTATATATGCACTCATACATACATAGAAGACTTCCCTTGGGTGCAATAATATGGCAGTGACTATAGCAATACACTTATATATACACTTATACATACATAGAAGGAACATGCTTCATACACTTCCCTTGGGTGCAATGATATGGCAGTGACTATAGCAATACACATATATACACTCATACATACATAGAAGGAACATGCTTAATACCTCTGCCATGGGGCTATGTAAAGACTCACCTATCAATGACCTGAGGTATCTTGTTATACCCATCCTTGATACCGTTCACGACTATGCTCTCCACTAGCTTGCCCACAAACTTTAGCTGCACATTGATGATGGCCTCCATATGCAGTGTACAGGATAGACCGTCTTTGCTGACAACCAGATAGCCTCTGCCCTGTACGTTGGTATAGTCTGCGAATATACCGGACAGCGAAGTGAAGTCGAAGCTGTAGTCGTTCGCGCCAAAGGTGACGGTGTCTTCGAAGACGATCTGAGATAGCAAGCAGTGCATGGGATGAGGAGACGGTAGATATAGCAATGAAATATATAGGCAAAAACCACACACACACACATATA